TGCCCTTTCTGCCTGTTTATTAGCTGCACTAATAGGTTGTATTCTGTTCATTCTAGTTTCGCAACCAGTATGACAATGACGTCACGGTTTGGAGCCCTCAGGTAAAGTCTTTTAATCTTGCTAACTGGCTTTTTACTTGATTTTTCTCTTTTCTTCACTTTTGCAGCAGTGGTATCACAGTGTATTCAGGTGCCTGGAGCTTACTGCAGCCTGCTCCCTTCTTGTTTTGTAGGCTGTAGGTTTCTAGAAAGCCATTAGCATGTCTCTAAGTTTCTGGTGTATGAGCCTGAATGATGCTTCTATGAGCCCTGTTAACCTCCAAGTACTTAAGGCAGTTGTGTTCTGAATGTACATTGTTGCTGGGGGTTGGGCTCAAGGATCTTTAAAGGTCCCTTCCAACTAAACTGTTCTATGCTTCTGTGATTGGTTTACAGACCTATAATAAAAAGTTGGTAATCAGGCTATCAGAAAGCTTGAAACAGAGCCCAAATATTAGGCTACTGCTAGGTCATTCCCTCTTTTATTCACTAGCTAATGTTGGAAAGGAACTATTTAATTTTCAGTTGGGAAAAACTTTATGTATATGTTTTATTAAGAGCTTTACTGTATTCAAATTTTTCGGAACAAAATCAAATTGCTGTAAATTAGTATTTAGTGCTTAAGTGAGAATATGGTGACTTCTTCAAGTATGGCATAACAGCACCTGTTTCACTTTTTGTGCAGACAGTTAGTACTGTCTTGTAAGCCCCAGTTTGAATGACTGTACCCATGTGGTAATATGAAGCACGGAATCTGATATACTGATTTTTGTAGTATGAATCCACAGATCTTAATTTCTAAATCAAAATGGTCGCAAACATCCCTGTTGAATAAGTTTCATGTGTGAAGCTTATAACATTGACAGCTAGAAGATGCAAGTGCTTAAATGCCATATAATTTTGTACTGCTGTTTACACTGTGCTTCAATGATGGAGTCTGTGCAACTGTGTGTCCCTAGTTTCCTGTGTTGTGGAGTGTTAGGGAGGCTTCATACTATCTCTGTACTTAAGATTATATTGAGATTTGCACTTAAATTTGAAATGGTATTACCTCTGAATCAGTTCTACGTTGTGTATTGTTCTAAAACTTCCTCAGGTTGTATTGACATAAAAATAAATAGTCTAGAATTTTAAAAGCAAGTGTCAGTTCAGGTGTTTAATGTTGCCTCATCTCCTGGCATGTGTGTTTTATGATAGAATACCTGTGTAAAATCTGACTTGTTTCTAGATTTAACAAAATTAAAGATTTAGTTTAAATGCACATGGCAAATCGTGTTAGTATCAAGTTATGTATCATTAGTTTGCGGGTTTGTGTTACTACGGAAAATCTTCATCATGTAGCAGTACTTTTTGAAAGATTAATTTTCAGCCTAAGTTAATGGAGCACGTGTCGTACTTTCCACCCTTTATGAAGACAGTCTTGAGTATTTGAATGTTCTCCAGTCAATACTATGATAGCTGTCGATGGCTTTGAGCCGTTTTCATCGTTCTTAATGATTGTGTTTCAGGCGCAAAGAATAATCATATTTTATTGAGGAGGTGTTTTCAAATGTTGTTGAAAAGAAGATACAAGATTTTAAAGGCCAGGAGGGGCTTCACACTTTTACAGCCTTTCAAGTCACTTATGGAAGTTGATAAATACATGTTGGACAGGTTGCAGGGATTCCATACTGCTCTTGGGCAGGGAATATCCTGTGTTCTTGAAATTCCATTTATAACTTAGTGGATGGAATGGAACATCAGGGTATTTTAAGCATCTAGTGAACTTTGTATTTCTCTAGATAAATCAAAAACCTTCTACTAAAAAAAACCCCAACAACCTAATAGAATATGATTTCTTGTAGATTATCTCCAGTACATTTCTCTAACAGCGCTACATTCCACTCCGTCACAACTGGTAGATGCAACTGTGTGCTGCAGTTAGTAATTCCAGGACCTGCGCAGTAGCAGTGAACATGCTGACTATTTGACATAGGCTGGCCAACTAGAGTGCAGAAAATCAGCTGCTTTGTCCTCAGTCATTGCATTAGCAGGATATTGTCTTGTTTTCCTGCAAAGCTCCTGGCTGCCTTTGCAGAACTTGTGGGGCCTTAATTGTCTTTGAGACCTCTACTCCTCTTTCAGACTTCGCTGTGGTTGACTAATAACTTGTTCAGAAGTTATTAGGGAATGGATGGTGAGACACAACAATTGCATAAGACCCATTTCTTCAGGAAACTCGATTAAAAGTTAAAACGTCCAACTTCAGCTGGAAGTTCTGTCTTTGAATCACATTGGGTCAAGTACTGATTCCTCTGAAGACAGTGACAAAAGTCTTGTAATTCTTATAGTGTCAGGATTATTCACCTTTTCTTTGTACTTTTCCTGTTTCTTTGTGTGCAGCAGTGAGTGGCTCAGAGGTGGCCAGATTTTTGTGGGTTAATGGGGAAGTGTTTGCAGAAGATAACTGTTGGTTGTAGGTTTAAACTGTTATGCAGTAAGTATACTTGCTGGGGTGGGGAAATCAAAGGCTTGGAAACCAAAAAACATTGAAAATTGATACAGCGGGTTAACTTTAGAATTGTTACCTTTGATCTTCTGTAGGGCCGAATTCATCAAATAGAATATGCCATGGAAGCTGTGAAACAAGGCTCAGCTACTGTGGGACTGAAGTCAAAAACGCATGCGGTTCTGGTTGCGCTGAAGGTAACTTCAGAACTGTGTTCAGGACAAGAACGTTAGTGGAAATGTTTTGGTTTGGCAAATTGGTTTTGCACACTTAGAACTGTAGAACTATAAATATTGTCAGTAGCTATGCAAAGCAGATTTTCACAAAATGGTGAAGAAAATGAGTGAAAGACATTGCCTTTTAAAAGCTGTTCCTTTTTTTTTTTTAATTTGTTATTAAGTAGTAACACTTTCTTTTTCCAAAGCTTGATTGAGTGTCTGTTCTTTCTTTTGTTCTGACAGTTTACTACTGAAGTGGAATTAGTTTTTTCTTGTCTTCTGTTGCAAGTTTATGAATATGTTTGTTTCATGATCATATTCAGTTCTTGCTCTAAATGTTAGCAGATTTCTCCACAGTGCTTGGCAAACTGTTCAGTCTGCCACACAGCTTTCTCCTTCTATGCACAGAGAGCACAGTCTGAGCTGGCAGCTCATCAGAAAAAAATCCTGTACGTTGACAACCATATTGGTATCTCAATTGCTGGACTTACTGCTGATGCGAGACTCTTGTGGTGAGTATCTTAGTTGTTGACATACACAGTTCTGCAACAGAGAGTGAAAGTTCATTTGCAGACTATTGGAAATAAAATTTTATTGTCAGCTAAGGATTGGTCTTGACTTACTGCTCTGTTGTACTATGCCAAAGACCTCAGCATGAAATTCTGGCAGATTTTTAACTAGTTGGCAGAAATCTCATTTGTTTGGCTCAAAATTTTGCTCTTTGTTGTTACTAGTAAGACAGTCCTGCCTGGTTTCCTGAGGCTGATGGGGTTTCCAAGCAGTCTGAGAAAGTACATCAACTGCTTCTGTGTACACACACTTAAAGTTACTAGAAACGTACACCTGTAAACATACACTGCTGGATGTGTTGGCTTGAGAGGGGCTTGCTTCTCACCTGCTGGCCACATAGTTTCATCAGGTGAGGCAAAGGAGGAGTGCTCCTCACTTTGATAAGAAAGGACAAAGAAGGCGTAGGAAGAATTTCTAGAATAAATTTGAAGTGCTGTGGTATTACAAAGAAATGGTACCATTTAACTGGGCCTCTTTTCCAGATGATCCGACTGTTGCCTGCATGAACTTCTACCTTCTCACCATCTGTATGGCTGAAATACTGTAACACTCTGACGTGTGGTCGACTTTCTAAATGACAATTATAGGTCATGATGAAATGAAATTATGTAATGCCTTTGACCCTTTTTCTCAGTGAGCAGAGCTGAAACAAAGACATACTTACCTTAACGGACAAGTACTGAGACAGAAACTCCTTGTGACTTTTACCTATGCATTGGTTTGATTTTTTTTCTTTTTTCCTCCCAGTAATTTCATGCGTCAGGAGTGTCTGGATTCTAGATTCGTGTTTGATAGACCTCTACCAGTTTCCCGGCTAGTGTCACTAATTGGAAGCAGTATCCTTTTTTGGGCTCAGATTTTTCTTCCTGTGGCAACATCTGTCTCTGCACAGAACGCAGCGGAGACCTTGTATTTAGTTATCGGGTGCCTAGAAAAAAATTCGAAGGGATAAGAGGTTAGATGAGGCTCTGCAGCCTTAGGTGAACTGTTTGTATTACCTGTTTGAATGCACCACTCTGTTATTTTGGGAAGGCTAATTGCTAAATTTTCTTTTCGTGTAAAAGAAGTCAATATTCCAAATAGGTCCTGCAATCTGTTCCTTCAAACATGGTCTTCAAAGGCAATGTTGCGATTTTGGTGCATCCCTGCTTGGCTTGGGAGAACATTTCGGTTAATTAGCTTGTTATTTTGAGGTGGTTTCCTTAGCTTACTTAAGAAACCCAGATACCAACGCAGCGTTATGGCAGAAGACCATATGGCGTAGGACTGCTCATTGCAGGCTATGATGTAAGTAGGCTGCGCTAGTTACTCTTCACCTAAAAGAAACTGTGCTTAATGCAGTTTTATACAATGAACAGATGTTAAAAGAGGAAGATAGAAGGAGGAGGTAGGCTCATCAAAATTCTCTGAATAAGGACATAATTTTCTATATCTCATCCCAAACCATAACTTTGAAAATGTTTATTACTCCTACCTACACTTATGAGGTGTACATTAGCAAAAAAGGAAAAATAATTATTTTAAGGTGCAGAATGAGATGAGTAAATATTTTGAGTAAAAATTAGCTCTGTTAGTGATTTAAGGGATGAGAAGTTGATCAGTATCAAAATGTTGGCAGTAATTATTTTACTAGTGATTATGGAGCTGTACAGACTGCTATTTTAAATACCTTTTTATAAAAATGTATGTGGTAATCATCACTGGCCTCTCTTACTTGTTTGGCAACAACAGTTTGCTTAATGCAGCGCACACAATAGCTCTGCCCTGAAGGTTTTTGACATGAGGGAGGTTGAAGGAAACTGTCATTTTGCCTGGAATCTGGCATGGCATGGTTAAGTCTACAGCAGGTTTTTACTGTTGTGCAGATAAGACAGAAGGTGTGTGAAGTTACCTGCTGCAATCCGTAATGTGGGAAGCACATATAAGCAAAGTACAGTTTATGGAACATAGAAAGAAACATTTTTGGGGTCAGTTATTCTGCCCAAATAAAAACTGCATTTTAATGAACAAAGTGTAAAGAATTTATCTATCTATTTATTACAATAGCTTTGAAGGAATTGGGTTAGAACAGTGGTATGATAAGCAGCATGAAATAAATACATATGTGCATACGTATGAGCCGTGTGATGTGCCAAGAAGCAAAACTCTGTTTTAGAAAACATCATGCCTTCCAGCAGCAGACTTGTAAAACAAATGTAGAAATTCATACAGTTTTGTGGATTTTTCCCTCCCTGTAGGATATGGGTCCTCACATCTTCCAGACTTGTCCCTCTGCTAACTATTTTGACTGCAAAGCAATGTCCATTGGTGCTCGTTCGCAGTCAGCACGAACTTACTTGGAGAGACACATGACTGAATTTACTGACTGTGAGTAATGAATCCATATCTGTCTAATGGTGTTCATCAGTTATGTCGTTTTTCTGCTGCTGCTCCATTCTTTTGCATTTAGTAAGGTAGGGTCAATTTGGGGAGTCAAGTTTGACGTAAGTGTAAATCTGCATGGAGACACAAATGGTAAAGAATATACCATAGATCTTCATGTCTGACATCTGGGTTATACTTGTTACATCAGATGAAAAGCAAAGCTGTGCTCAGAAAAGCAAAGAAAAAAAAAAACGAAAGGTCTCTGCTCTGCTTAACCCAGGGAAAGACCAATTCTTTCCATATCAGAGCAGGGATAGAGTGTTAGGGCAGGTATTTAGGTAGTGCATTTTAAATGGTGAGTTTAGTTTTATATGAAACAGTGATGATGAGGTTACTGAATGGCTTCTTGGGCAAAAAAAATAGTGTGGCGACCACTGTGCTGGAGGCAGGGCATGTGCCAAAACCGGGTGCATTCAGCCTCAAATGTAGGGAAGGGTGGTTTCTCAAGGTATACCTTTATAACCAACTCTGTGATCAGTACCAGAAGTACTTAGGGAGGGGAGTTCTGGAAGCCAAGCTAGCCAGGACGGTTTTTCTAGTTGTCAACTAGGAGTGGGAAGAAGGAGAAATGAGTGTCTAGAAATAATATCGTATATTTAGTAAATGTCTTTCTGATTTCATTTGAAGGTAATCTAAATGAGCTAGTTAAACATGGACTGCGTGCCCTGAGGGATGCTGAACAGGATCTGACCACCAAGGTAGATAGGAGGTTTTCCTAACAACAGTGTGTTCATGGTAACTTTTTAATAACAGTGGCAGTAAAATTTCATGTAAGGTATGGCTGGCACTGAACTTTGGAAACTGAACACTGGTGGATAGTATCTTCATTTTATATGTCACCATTTTACCTACAGTTTCCTTAACTATCTGATTTAATTTTCTTAACAAAGCTATACTTTCTCTAAGTAAGACATTGTTTCCCTGGTTGCTTCATTCTGTTTTAAACTTTGATCAGTGTTTAAGAGCTATCATATGCAACTGGAATCAGAGCTTTGCTTTGTAAGCACAGTCAGTAATTCACCTGGGAGGTGATGGAAGGTCACAGGCAAACAGATGACTGAGTATCCCCAGTATCAAAAAGTTATCTATCAAAGAGCACAGTCTCTCAAAATGTGTGTGTTGCCTTAAGTAGACACAACAGCACAATGAGTCTCTCTGTCATGGGAGAAAAGTTTCATCTGTTTCTCAGGCAAAAGCTATAAAGCCACAGAGTTATTCACAGAGAAATGCTTCTCACTTCTTTCAAAACTTTGCTTAACAGAATGTTTCCATCGGGATTGTTGGCAAAGACATGGAGTTTACCATCTATGACGATGACGATGTAGCACCATTCCTGGAAGGTCTTGAGGAGAGACCACAGAGAAAGGTGTGTGGTTTAGATGTAAATAAATAGGCTTTGTTGAAAGACGACATATGAGCTCTCACATTCACGTTTACGACGCTTAATGCTCTCTGCTGTTCTAGTAGAGTCTTAGGGTGTGATTTAAAAACTGATGTTACTACATGAAAAACAACATAATCTTAGCTGGAGACCCAAGATGCTTATTAAACCAATTTATGCTGAATAAATGGCGGGCCTTTCCAAAGTCATCTTCTTTCCTCATCTATGATCCAGTACTGGGTTTTGGTTTTTTGCAGCAGAAGTGGCTACATGTTTCTCATGCCTGCCCCAGGGTGCATCCTTGGTCTCCTAATCACCATCTCTGCCCTGCTTCCATGCTTAATTTGGATAAACACTACTTTGTAAGCCTTTGGCTGACAGGAGCTGCATTGATGCACTCATGCTGCTCAATCCAGGATAAAGTTGACTTGTCAAGTATTGTTTTCTGCCCTTCTGTAACATCCTTTTTTTTCTCCCTTTAAGCCTGCTCCGCCTGCTGATGAACCTGCAGAAAAGGCAGAGGAGCCGATGGAGCACTAGCTGGTGGATGAGTTCCTCTGTGTTACCATACGTCTGATTAGACGGGAACGTTTATCCGTTTGCTGGTAACGTTATCCTCGCCTGTATACGTTTTCTGCCGATACATTCTAAGGTTTACTCTGAAAAAAGAAAGGAACCAACCCACCTATCCTTAAAAGGTAGACAGGAGATCATAATTGGGTGTGTTTTCTTTGACAAGAAAGGTGTAATCATTTTCTAAATAGTACATGATACTGTTTTTTAACGAAAAGCATACTGTCTTTAACTTGTAAGGACAAGTGGAAATAAATCACTTTCTTGGAATCTGCCGTGGGTTTGTTTTTTATTTTTTTTTTTAATCTGAAGAAACACCTAGTGGAATGCTGCTGTCACATCAAGGTGCCATCATATGTTTGGCCATTGTCAGCATGAGGACTTAATTCCTGTATATAAATACAGTGCTCTTGGAAACTGCAGACTGGGAGGACCTCAGATGCCTACAAAACAATTGTGGAATGAACAGGATGCAGCGTGTTTCCTCGTGTTGTCTTGTCATTGTCCCAGACTGGTTGAGCATTTACCAGAGACATGGCAGGCTGGATAAGCATGAGGCTGCCAACCAGCTTGTGTGTTGGCTTTTTGAGTTCTCTGCATCAGTAAACCCCAGCTCCTTCAGAGCTGAATGGATTGCTGTTCGTCCTCAGAGCCATCAGCCAGCCCCGTGGGGTAGCTTTTACCTCGCTAATGGCTTAAATTGAATTAACGAGGGAAGCACTCCCGTTTCAGGTCCCCCGAGCTACGGCCACTGCATGGCTGCTGGATAAACAGGGTCTCTGGGGTCTTGTCCCTTCAGCTTGATCTGCAGGGCCTGAAAGAAGTGCCCGGTGCCTGCTGGGGTTTGAGCTGAATGCCGCAGAATTTGAGACTAAGCAGCTCAGTAGGGGTGTGATATCCTGCTCAATGTATTTAAAAAAAAAAACCCAAACAACTAAATACTTGCATCTTGTAT